TTTTTTTTTTTTTTGCAATCATAAAATTATTATTTTTTTTTAATTTCTTTATTTCATAGTATTTTAGTGCTTATGTCAATGGCGTTATGTTCATCTTTTTAATTTCTACGCTAGTTATATATAATAGTCTATCAAAAAATATTCGCAACACGTTCATGAGTGAATACGTGTGTGTATGTGTGATTATCAAAAATGTTGAGTATATAAAGGGATCTAGAGTATTTTTTCTTATCTATGTCGCTGACTTAGTGACTATCAATAATGCCTTCATTTCATTTATTATTAATATTCGCATGCATACAAAGATTGTCTCTGTTCTTATATTTATATCTTTGTAAACGCCGACAATTTGACAATCAGTGCAGTAACATATTAAGTTAATTAATTATAAGGTAGATTAATTAACTTTTTCTTTTATTGTATTGTATGGGATGAGAAAATGAATTTATTTCGTCAATGCATAGTCACGTAGCGACATTTCGTGAGATATGATTGGTAATTATTTTTAATGTCGTAAATTTGTTAAACCTGTAGAGTAATCTACGTTAAATGAAAGTCGAAATTTATGTCAATATTCTGACAAGGTGTTCTGCGAAATTTTTACAATATATACGTAATTGAATTATATATTACGAGCACGTGAGGAAGCGCGTGCATTTCCAATGAATAATTCTGGTCACGCAATTATTACCGGTTTATAGTTTTAATTGTCAGACATTAACTCACCATTCACCGATCAGCTATTTTAAGAGATTTAAGAAAGCTCTGGATGATAAAACATTTTTGCAAATTGAACGACTTAGAAGTTGATAGCAAAGAACGAATTATATTTTAAAATACATTGTTTACACGAACGAGATTTTTACCCAAAAAGGAATGCCACTCGAAAAGAGCACTTGGACAATTGCAAAGTCTAATTAAGATGATTCTCTCCTCTATATGTGATAGAGTTAGATGGGTACTACTTATGACGAGCTACTTGTACAATACCGAAATTATGGCAACTTGTTGATCGACTTGTGTCACTGTTAACTTTACTATTACAAAATAAATCTTGGACTTGGGTTCTTTCGAAGCAACACATATATAAACCTGTAACTTTACAGAGAGTGTTAATTGTTTCGTGCTTTACTGTACGTTTTCTTTAAAGATCTTGATAGTTTACTTTTCCTGAAAGAGTTACAATGAAAGTCTTTGAGTAGAACAAAATAAAAGATAAAATGTATTTATGTGTATGCAAGTCTCATTTTGATTTTAACTATGCACCTACGCAGGTACAAAATAATATCGAGAGATGCTTAAAAAGTTATAAAAATTGAAAAATAATAAAAAACTTAACTATAATTTTCTCTATGTGGAAGTCGCAATAATTCCAATTTAATTGTGTTGTGATCACTTTCGCACTTGTCGATATAGCAGACAGCCAATAATTTAAAATTGGGCATTCGCTGTAAAACGTTGGCAATATAGAATTTTATGCTACGAAAACGATCTCGATCGTGGCAAAAAGTTTCTTTGAAG